GATGGAAGCGGTTCCCGAGGGACGGGGGGGGGTGAAGCAGAAGCGGTGCGGGCCCGGGGGCTGAGCCTGCCGCCCTCTCACTTGTCGGTGCCGCTTGTGTCGCCTCCCAGGCTGAAGGAGATGCCAAGGGCGAGAAGGCCAAAGTTAAGGATGAGGTAAGAAGTTCGGTGTTTTGTGTTTTTTTTAAAAAAAAAAAAAAAAGTTGGATCCTGCGGTGTTTGCGTTGGAAGATGAGATGTGACTTCGTGGAAATAAAGAATTGGGGAGCTGAGGGAGGGTTGGTCTTAATTGATTCTGACTTCCCAACAGTAGTAGTATCTCTTCCAAAAGTATTGTAGTGGGAGGTGTCCCTGCCCGTGGCAGGGAGGTTGGAACCTGGTCATCTTTAAGGTCCCTTCCAACCTTCACCATTCAGGGATTCTCTGGTTGTCTTTTAACCTTAACCCTGAACAATCTACTCAAATATCTTTAGCTGTTATTAGTAATTTAAATGGGATACTCCCCTATTTCTTGACAGTGGGGGTGGGGAAAGGGAACTGAAAACTTAGACACTAGTTCTGGGATTTTACTACTTTGAAATTAGTTTTTGATGGTTTATGTTTCATCACATTAAATCAGTAACTTTTCTTCTTTAACAGCCACAACGGAGATCAGCAAGGTTATCTGCTGTGAGTATTCTGTTCTTGAGCAGAGTTGTCACAACCCTTGGTAGTTTTAAGCTTGAGTATTAACTGGGAGAACTGGGGGTGTCCTGGACAGGCACCATCTTCAGTTTAAAGAAAGTTATTGGCTTAACAAGCTGCCCCATTGTGTGGTGCTGTGGGAGTGGTAGAATTGACAATTCAAGTGAGTGCTTCACTTGAAAATGTTTTGATTTGCTTGCCTAAAGCAACAACTATTTGGGTTGAATGTTTTAAAGAGGTAGTATAATTCTCTTGCAACAATTGGGGTAACATAAGGGGTTTTTTTCCCGCTTGCAGAAGCCTGCTCCACCGAAGCCAGAGCCTAAACCTAAAAAGGCAGCTCCAAAGGTAAGTTATGTCACAGAGTGGTGGGGTTGGAAGGGACCTCTAGTCCAACCCCCTGCTAGAGCAGGATCCCCTGGAGCAGATCCCACAAGAACACATTCAGTTTGGAATGTCTCCAAGGATGGAGACTTCACAGCCTCCCTGGGCAGCCTGTCCCAGGGCTCTGGTACCCTCACAATAAAAAAGTTTTCCTCATGTTTCAGTTCTATAGAGGTAAATAGGTTCTGAGGTTTAGATTCGTCTGGTAGTAACTAATAAAGCTTTGGATAATGGAACAGGTAGTAATGAAATCCAGCTGCCTCATCACTTCTTCAAGATGGCACTGACAAATTCCGAGTTTTACAACAAGTGCAGTAAACAAAACCAAAGTGAACACTCTTGGCAGTCGGTGCCAATCATGCAAACATTTGTGTGGTGTGTTCTTTTTGGGCCAACATCCAAGGTTGGTTTTTACCACTTTAGTTTTGGATTCTTGTGGCTGAATGACTGGGTGTTGTTAATTGTCATGGTGTGTACATCATCTCACCTTGCAGAAGAGTGAGAAGTTGCCCAAGGGAAAGAAGGGGAAAGCTGATGCTGGCAAGGAGGGAAACAACCCTGCAGAAAATGGAGATGCCAAAACAGACCAGGTAAAACAGCAGCTTGTCTTAGTCAGCAAATAATCTTTTTTCCATATCAAACAGGCGGGTCTAGGCTTGTGCTAATAAAGAGGGATTATTGCCTGATTGGTTAGATGTGTTGCTTATGATACAAACAACATCTCTAGAGATGTGGGAGGGTGTCACTTGCTTGGTAAAGAGTTAAAGTTGTCTTCTTGCCAGTCACGTTGCCATGTGGAAGCTACTGTTCTGCCTTGTTCTGAAAACATGTCAAGTTTGCACGTAATAGAGCAACTTCAGGTTGCCTTTCACAGTGCCTCAAATGTTAGATTTCATTTTATTAACAATTAAAAGAGTGGTGAAGCCCAAATAAGATCTCTTTTATCAGTTGCTGGTGCAAGTGTGTGGTGTATTGACTTGGTTCCCCTTTTTCTTTTAGGCACAGAAAGCTGAAGGTGCTGGTGAAGCCAAGTAAAAATGTGTGAATTTTTGATAACTGTGTACTTCTGGTGACTGTACAGTTTGAAATACTATTTTTTATCAAGTTTTATAACAATGCAGAATTTTGGTTTACTTTTTTTTAAGCTATGTTGTTAGCACACAGACCGCTTCGTTGTTGTGTTTTGGGGGGGGGGGTTG